ACGTGTCAGTTGTGTCTCTTTCGTATTTATGTTACACATTAATTTTTCTCCGTCATCTACATAAACATGTTTTTCAATATACTTATTTATAAAAAGAAAGAAAATGTAGTCATGCTTCATTGATAATCAATGAAATAAATTAGATATATATACGTGTTCTAATAATATGAATAAATATATGAAATTATGAATATTTTGGTGGAGTGATATCATTATTTTGATGAACATTGATTCACTTTTTTACTCAGCTATATGATTTAGTGCAGTGAATGAAAAAGATTAGTTTCCTACCTAATTCTAATGATGAAAATCATACATGTATGAGAAAAACTATTCAGTATTAAATAAGAGCATAAGTGTGATTAAAGCATCTATTTCTGAACTTCATCTTTGCTTTGTAGAAATTTGAGTAATGTGAACAACAAAGAAATTCACTCCTCCTATCCAAATATGTCAATTGAATGATATAGAGATATGTAAAAGACAAACTATTCTATGACTATATTTCATATCAAAACATTATTTTTGTTCTACAGATATTATACAACCTCTATATGATCCATTAACTATATATAATCAAAGTATCTTTTCAAATAATTGCAACCAGAACTAATTTCTATAGATCTCGATCAAATCTACCATTTACTACTGGAATATCTAGAGGAAGAGAGAAGTGGAAAGCTATACCTTTTTGAAATAATATTCGTAAGACCTCAATGTTGAATACGATAATAGGTACATCTATAATTTTTAATCGATCCTTATCCTGATTTTGTTGTAGAAGTATTCGATTGTAATCTAAGATTATCTGACATTTTTTGTTGAATAACTATTATAGTTAATATAGATCTGAGGGTATGGGTGTGGGTAAGGCTGATAGAGAAGAAGAGACACCCACACCTACCCTCAAATAGTTGACAACTCATGATATGGTGATTGTTTTTGAAAACATAAGGATTAGCAATGAAAAGTTACCTTTTTTTTCATTGTAATGAATTGAAATCGATTAAATGCATATAACAAAATTGTCTAGTTGATATATAAAAGACTTTCTATCAAAATAATACAATGAAAACAGATGAAAATTTTTAATCTAGTTGAGAATGAGGATTCATAGAATATCTTCTTCCATACTTCCTTCTCCTATGAAACCATAGCAGAAAATATGAGTTATAATTTATATCGAGATTTATATATGATAAAATTTAGTTTTTAAATATAGACAGATCTCTATGAAGCTATAAAAATTCGTAATGTATAGTATAAATTCAAATTTTTAATTAATCTTACTAAGTTAAATTTATAGATCTTTAATCAAAAATATTGTATATGATAGTTGTCGCTAATTTCCATCGAATCTAAGAGAATCTTCTTGTCAATATAACCGCTATCAAGAGACGAATGAAAAAAATCTAACATTACCTATTATTTACTCTCTACTTAAGTTTTTCATCTCGATATTTTTTACTTGTTTTATTCGTTATCTTCATTTTTGTTAAACACATTATGGCTGAAACAAAACAACTTCGTCATGTGGTCTTATTTAAATTCAAAGAAAATACACCACCAGCTGATATATCACATATAGAAGATGAATTTCGTACATTAGCAACTGTTAAAATTCCTGAAATCAAAGCATATGAATGGGGTACAAATGTCAGCAAAGAAAATCTTGATCATGGTTATACACATTGCTTTATTTTAACATTCGCCAATGAACAAGATCGTGATATGTATATCGATCATCCAGATCATAAGGCTTTTGTCGACATTTTAAAACCACATTTAGCTGAACCAACTGTAATTGATTTTTGGGTACATCACTAATCAAATTATATTTTGATTCATATTTTTAATAAGAAAATAAACTTACAACTTGATATCGAATTACGGAATAATTCAAAATACAGAAAAAAACACACTTTGATGAATCACAAACAGTTGTTAGATGCATAGAAATATACTTTCATTTGATAATACTCATTAAATAATCAAACTCGAATAAATTTATCAGAGAATTTCTAGAAAATCATCCTACAACTATCTATTTATCTAACATACGATTCGTTCATAGGCTCTTTTCGATTCGGTAATATCATCTTATATTGTTTCTTCATATACAAGAAAGTATAATAGTTTAGAGTGATAAAAATCATTACTCAATTTAATACAAAAAAATATTTCACTCTGTTAGAGGACTCTAGTGGACAGAATAAGTATAATAAACAAAGAGTTTGTATATGTATGTGGTGATGTAATTTTTCATTGGTTTTACTATTGCACGAGTAATACGTAAAAGAACAGATAAAAGTGAATGAAATGAAATAGGCGTAGATATATTTAAGATCGAGGTTATTAAAATCGTCTCTTTCTAGAAAAATAAATGCTTAATCATTGGCGTGCTAGAAAGTATGATAAATAAATATCGATAATAAAAATATTTCGTTTTTAGTTTTTCTCTTATTCGTCTCGGTTTAAATATGGCTGAACAAAAACGTTCTCTTAATCGATTAGCAAATGAAAAATCATCTTATCTTCAACAACACGCTCATAATCCAGTTAATTGGTAGTATAAAATAATTAAAACCATACTCTTACGCGTCACATATATTTTAGGTACGCGTGGACTCCAGATGCATTTGAAAAATCACGAAAAGAAAATAAACCAATTTTTCTCTCGAGTACGATAAAAAATTCTTCTCTCTTCTAAACCCGAAATTTTTTTTCATTAGTTGGTTATAGTACTTGTCATTGGTGTCATGTAATGGAACATGAATCTTTCGAAAATAATGAAATTGCTAAAATACTTAATGATCATTATGTAGCAATTAAAGTTGATCGAGAAGAACGTCCTGATGTTGATCAAGTCTATATGAAATATCTTCAAGTAAATCGTTTTATTTTCTTATATAATTTCAATTTTTTGACTATTTTTTTTCCCAATAAGTCAACAGAAGGGGGTGGTGGATGGCCATTATCAGTATGGTTAACACCACAATTACAACCGTTCTTTGCTGGTACATATTTTCCACCAACAAGTGAACATCGATATGGTCGTCCGGGTTTTAAAGAAATTCTTGTTAAATTAAATGAAGCATGGTCAACAAAATCAAATGAAATTATTAATGGAAGTAAAGATTCAATAGAACAATTAGCAACAATTATGGATAAACGTGCAACTACTACAGAAAATAATTCTGATTTACTAACAAATACAAGTATAGAAACATGTTTTGCCTATTTTGCTAATGATTTTGATGATGATAATGGTGGTTTTGGTACACGACCAAAATTTCCTCAACCTGGTATAATATTTAATTTTTTTCTCTCGATAGAAATGAATATTTTCTTGTAGTTAATTTTAATTTTCTATTAACTCATGCTGCATTAAGTCATCAAGCAAAAGGAAAAGCTGATGTCGCGAAATTATCTATTGATATGACTCAATTAACATTGAAGAAAATGTCTTTAGGTGGTATTAATGATCAACTAGGCAAAGGTTTTCATCGATATTCAACAGATGATCTATGGCATGTACCTCATTTTGAAAAAATGCTTTATGATCAAGGACAAATTGCTGTAGTATTAGCTGATACATATTCAGTAAGTTAATTTCAACGAAGAAATGATTTTACTCAATTTTTATACTTAAAGATTACTAAAGATGAACTTATTGGTCAAACATTACGAGATCTTGTTTCATATGTTGAACATGATCTACGTCATAGTAAACATGGAGGCTTTTATTGTGCTGAAGATGCTGATTCATTACCAACAAAAAATGATACAAAGAAGAAAGAAGGTAAAAAAATTTTTACTAAAAATATTCAATACATTTTTTATTTAGGAGCATTCTATGCTTGGAATTATGATGAATTACATAAACTTTTACCAGAAAATCATGCTGATATTTTCTGTTATTATTATCAATGTAAGAAAAATGGCAATGTCGATCCAATGCAAGTTAGATACAAGTTTATTTTTATTTTGTAAATTCATATTCTATTTCTTAAGGATCCGCATGATGAATTAAAAAATCAAAATGTTTTAATTACCGATGGAAATCATCAAGCTACTGTTGAAAAATTTCAACTTAAAAATATTACTGAATTAAAAGAAATTCTATCTGCATGTCATAAAATTCTTCTTAATTATCGTAATGAAAATAGACCAAGACCTCATCGTGATGAAAAATTTCTTGCATCATGGAATGGTCTTATGATTAGTGGTTTAGCACGTGCTGCTTGTGTACTTCAAGAATCTAAGTATACTCAACTTGCTGAACAAGCAATTCATTTTATCCGTACTTATCTTATTGATTCATCAACAAAACGACTTTTACGTGCATGTTATATTGATCAAAAAATACATGAAATTGAATATACGTAAGATCTTTCGCATATAGAAGATAAGACTGTTTTTTGTTTTTTTAGAGAATTAAAAGTAAATGGATTTTTGGATGATTATGCATTTGTTATTCAAGCTTGTATTGATTTGTATGAAACTAATCTTAATGAAGATTTACTTATATTTGCATATGATTTACAAAAACAACAAGATGAATTCTTTTGGGATTCGAATAAAAATCGATATTTCAATACAGATGGAAAAGATGCTTCAATTATTTTACGTCTTTCCGAAGGTACTAATAAAAGATATAGAAAAAACGATTGAATTGTTTTTTGAATTTCTAGATCATGATGGTGCTGAGCCAGCACCGAATGCAGTTTCTGCTCTTAATCTTCTTCGTCTTGGACATTATTTTAATGATTCATCTTTACATGATCGTTTACAATTATTATTTAAATCTTATACTCGTCAATTAAGTAAAATGCCAATGACAATGCCAACAATGATTCGTTGTTTTGAAATGTATACTCAAGGTATGAATGAAATTATTATTCAATCATCGAATCCAGAAGAAATTATTCAATATATTCAAACATCATATGTACCAAATAAAATTATAATCAACTTAAATAAAAAAACCAATCATAAACTTATACAATATAATAAAGAATTAACATCATTTATAGACGATAAAACTAATGAACAAACGAGAATTTTTCTTTGTCGAAATTTTCAATGTCAATTACCTGTTTCATCTTTGAAAGAATTTAAAGAAAAATTCGATCCATTAATTTTAACATATTAATAAAAACAAAACTTATTATTTCATTTTACATTTTAGTTATCATCTTTTTCTTCCTATTTTATGTATAGATCATTATTAACTAGTTTTTATCGAACATTAAATATACGTACAATGGCAACAGGAACTAAACCTATTCAATTGTATTCATTAGCTACACCTAATGGACAAAAAATTGGTATTGCACTTGAAGAATTCGGTCTTGAATATGATGCACATTTAATTGATATTAGTAAAGATGTTCAATTCGGTAATTGAATTGAAGTATTAAGATACGAACGAAGGAAATTTTTTTTCTTTTTATAGAGGATTGGTTTAAAAAAATAAATCCAAATTCAAAAATTCCTGCTCTTGTTGATCGTGAACCAAATGGTGATGATAAACAACCAATAAGTATATTTGAAAGTGGTGCTATTTTAATTTATCTTGCTGATAAAACAAATAAATTTCTTGCTCCAGTTGGTACACGTCAACGATATGAAACAATTGAATGGCTTATGTGGCAAATGGGTGGTGTTGGACCTATGTTTGGACAAGCTAATCATTTTCATAAAGCAGCTAAAGAACAAATTGAATATGCTAAAAAACGTTATTTAGATGAATCGAAACGTTTATTAAAAGTACTTGATACACAATTAGGTAAAACAGGTTCATATGTTAGTGGTAGTGATTATACAATTGCTGATATGGCTATTTTTCCATGGGTTGCTTTCTTTACAAAAAATTATAAAGATCAATTGAATGACGAATCTTATTCAAATATTGACAAATGGTTAAATATAATTGGTGAACGACCACAAGTAAAAAAAGGTCTTAAAGTTTGCTCAAAAGATGCCTAAAACAACATATTTAATATGAACTTTTTTTTCTTCGTTTGTTCTTTTACAACTATTTACCTAGTTAAGCATTAACTCAATAGATTTTAACCTTTTTTTTTAATACATCTATTTCCCTTTAAGTATATTTCTAGATATGTCATTTCGTATTGATCAAAATCGTTTTTTTCTTGATACGTATCGAACACGTATTAGAGATACAGTAACAAACGCAGAACAAGCTGATTGTGAACAAGCTGTTGAAAAACTTTTTAAAGAATTTCTTAAACAAAAATCAAGTTTTGGATTGAAGTAAAATAATAAAAAGCAAACAAACAAACAAAGTTTATATTTATTTTTAGAGGTCCTATTCTTAATCGAGATAAACATGTTACTTATTTATTGAAAAGTCTTCGTCATTTACCTAGAAGTCATGAAGTAATAAATCAATGTTTTTACTGAAGAAAGTAATATTATCCTTATGTTATCTATTCTAGTCACTTGATGCTAGTCGACCATGGCTTGTTTATTGGATTACACAAGCTTTATATTTACTTGACGAACAATTATCGGATACATTTATCACTGAGTAATTGTTTTTTTATTTCTTGATAAAAATTGAGTTAAAATTATTTTTAGTATATGCAATTTTTTAAAACAATGTCAACATCCGGATGGTGGTTTTGGAGGTAGGAAAATGAATATTTTTTTACGTCATATATACATATACAATAAAATTACAAGAGCTAATCTTCTTAAACAAATATTTATCATTATTTATGTAAGAGATGATTGAATGTATACATGAATTAATCTCTTTCAGGTGGTCCTGGTCAAATAGCTCATTTAGCTCCAACATATGCAGCTGTAAATTCACTTTGTTTATTACGAAGTCAAAAAGCATATGAAGTTATTGATCGGTATATTTTTTATTATAATTATTTCCATATTGAATATATTTAAATTCTATAGAAAAAAATTATCTGCATGGTTAAAAACAATTCGTGATCCTATTAATGGAAGTTTTAGTTTACATATTGATGGTGAATCAGATATTCGGTATAATAAATATATTCTTTTCATATATTTGATTTATTTATTTATTTTAGAGCAACATATTGTGCTGCAAGTGTAGCAACAGTATGTCAATTAGAAGATCGAATTGAGCTATTTCAAAATACAGCTGAATGGGTAGTCAGGTAAAAATGAGAGAAAGAAATTTTTTACTAGATAAATCATTAGATTTGTTTATATAGTTGTCAAACATATGAAGGTGGTTTTGGTGCATGTCCGGGGGCTGAAGCACATGGTGGATATTCATTTTGTGGTTATGCGACACTTTTATTACTTGATCGAGAATCATTATGTGATCGTGATAGTTTACTTGTATGAAAAAAAGAGATATTTGGAATATAGAATGATTTTTGTTATCGACATAGAGATGGACTGTTAATCGACAAATGACATTTGAAGGTGGTTTTCAGGGACGTACAAATAAACTTGTCGATGGATGTTATTCATTTTGGGTTGGTGCTTTAATACCACTTATAAGAGCTATTCAACGTCGACAATGTACACGAGATAATCAAGGTTGTTATTATTATTATAAATTTTTAATAGATGAATCAATAGTGAAATTTTAGATGCAAATGCAAAACATGACGATCAAATTTTTGATACAAGTAAGAATTTTGTTTTGATTCATTTTTGTATTATTATTATTATTATTTGTGAAATTTTAGTTGCTGCTCAAGAATATGTTCTTTTATGTTGTCAGGTGAATCATACGGGTGGTTTTACTGATCGACCTAAAGCTGATGCACGGTAAAGGAATTATTTTTGACTTGATTAAAAATTAAAGTTTGCATATTTAGTGGTAGTGATTTGTACCATACATGCTATTGTCTAAGTGGACTTAGTTTATTCCAAGATGGTGGTCAAGACCAAACACCAATTATTTGTGGTGATGATGACAATAAACTCGTAAGAAATATATTTATACAAAGAAAAAAAATGATTATTCTATATATGATAATCTTTTCCTCTTTCTAGCGTAACACACATCCTCTGTTCAATATTGGACCTGAATGTATTCGAGACGCCATGAATTACTATTCACAAGAGACACACTAGAGCTATTCTAATCTTTCTTTTTTTTCTTCTTTTTTTTCCGTTCTTTTCTATCATTGTTGAATAAAGATTATTTCATTCGTTCGTTTGGTTCTTTTTTTTTCTCTTCGTGTAACCGCAGCGAGACTATGCATGCGCTGCCAGTATGCGCCTCTTCTGTCGCCCGTTTGTGATGACGTCATGGACCCTCGTGAACAGAACGAGCGCATTCGAATGATCCTTACATATATATATATA